CAGCTCATTAAAAGAGTAAATATTTTTCTGAGCTAATTCTTTGTTTATTGCCTTCCGTATTACCGACAAAACATCCTTTTTAAAAGAAAACTTATTTTCATGACTTTCTATCATCACAAAAATGTATAAAATTTGTATAAAATTTTAGATACTCCATTAAAAAAAAAAGAAAAGAATCATGAATGTTACCTACTTCAATTGCTTCTTACATTTTGGTGCATGTACTTCTAGATTGTTTCCAGCTAGATAGACAGGGTTATATAATTTGACAAAAAAAAAAAAAAAAAAAGAACAAAAAAGAACCCCCCCTTGCAAGATCATCATTCTTCTTTATATATTGTTTATTTCACTTAATATACCATGGAACTCTTGCCATTCATAAAACTAAAGAATCATGCTTAGTAGTGACATGGTTCTGTTGATGAATGGGCTATGATTGAACAAGCTGGTGACAGAAAGTTGTTTCCTCATTGGAACTGCCATCAGCTGTCTTCTCGCCTGCACTGTCACCCCACATTCGCCATGCTCTGCTCCAGCCCAAGGGTGTTCTCTAAGTCCCTCACACTTGCCAAGCTCCCTCCAGCCAGAGGACCTTTGTAAATGCTATTCCTTCTGCCTGGAACAGTCTTCCTCGCTCGTCTGCTTTCTCAACTTCCATTTACCTTTCAGACATCGGGACAAATGCCACTTCTTAGAGGCCCTTGCTTACCCCTCTGATGGAGCCTGACTTCTCTCTCTAGCTCTCAAAACCCTGTGTTCCTCTTTTTCACGTGGCTTGTTGCCGTTGCCATTTCCCCATGTCTTTGAATGAACATGTAACTAAGACTCCTTTCCCCTCAGACTGGACAGTGTCTGTGTATGCTCATCCTTATACTGAAGCCCCAGGACCAAGTACTAAAAAGACATTTAGATGCTTTTCTGACTAAGATGAAAATGTCATGTAACTTAGTGTAGCATCTGAATTATTACCTGCTAATGCTTTTACTGTTTCTTTAAAATAATTCACTGTAATATCTTGAATAGAGACAATAGCTTCTTCAGCCCGTCTGGTCCACTCTTGAGCCTCCTTCTGCAAGGCCACTATCCTTTTAGGACCCAGATCATCCTCATCCAAGGACTTCTATAGAAATAAGGGAAAACCGTATGAGTAAGAAAGACTAGTAATGTACAGTTGTTAGGAAAATGAAAGCAAATTGGGCATATTGATTATTTCAACTACTTTAATTACTACTAGTTAGTCAATAAAATGTCTTATTGGGAATGAATAAGGCTGTAAGCTGGGCATCATTTGGAAGACAAAGGGATACCTGGCATAAAGAAGAAACAACAACTTTTACTTTGCTTTATTACAGCAACTTTTTCTTTTAGGGACATGGCAGGAAGCTCTTCAATATCATGAATCTTTTCTGAAGGGCAAAAGTAATACAATAACCTAAAAGACAGTAAAATCTATATATTCATGATTATGACTGTACTGTGTCATCCAGCATCCAATTCTTCTGCAAAGCTAGTAACATAAAAAATATACTCAGGTTAGCCATCAAGGAAATGTAAATGAAAACTACCGTGAGATACCCCTTCACATCCACTCAGATGGCTGTAATCAAAAAGACAGATAATAAGTGTTGGCAAAGATGTGGACAAACTGGAACCCTCATTGACTGCTGGTGGGAACATAAAGGGGGCATCTGCTTTGGAAAACAGTCTGGTAGTTCATTTAAAAGGTTAAGCATAGAGTTACCTTATAACCTAGCAGTTCTGCTCCTAGATATATATCCAAGAGAAATGGAAACACATGTCCACATAGAAACTTGTACATAAATGTTCACAGCAGTATTATTCATAATGGCCAAAAAGTGGAAACAAGCCAAATGTCCATCAATTGCTAAAGGATAAGTACAATGTGCTGTATCCATACAGTGAATATTTGGCAATACAACGGATTGAAGTTCAGATACATACCATAACATGGATGCACCTTGAAAACATCATGCTACATGCATGGAGCCAGACACAAAGGACCGCATATTGTATGATTCCATACAACAAGAAATGTCCGGAATAGGAAAAGCCACAGAGGCAGAAAGTAGACTGGTGGCCGCCTAGGGCTGGGGGGATGGGGAGTGACTGCATTGGGTATGGAGTTTCTTTTGGGGGCAGTGAAAATATTCCGGAATTAGACTGTAGTGATGGCTGCACAACTCTGAATATGCTAAAACCCACTGAATTGTGTACTTTAAGTAGGTAAATTGTATGGTCTGTGAATGATATCTCAATAAAGCTGCTATTTAAAGAAAGAAAAAATACATACAGGAAGTAAAGATCATACCAATAATTGACTTTCTAAGTAATGAACAGAACAGCTGCAGATGAGCGTGGCGGGATTTTCATCTTTATACACAGTGCCATGGTGGGGGTCGTGAGTGTACGTATGGAAAGATGGCCCAGTGTGGGAGACAGAGATCAACAGATCTCTTTGATGTCTTCCGATACCAGTGGATTGAGACCAAGGAAAGCTACTGCAGCCCTCTGGGCTGTAGATCCATTTGTAACAATGGACAAGAAAGCCTGTTCTAACAAGTGTCACTGGTCGTTCCATGACTCAGTGAAACGAGTGATGGCAGCATTCATTAAAGTTTAAATTACTGAATTACAATCCAGGCCGTTGCTATTTAAAATTGCACTATATTTCTAAGAAATCTGCATGTGTTCTTAGAGGCAGAAAATAAGCTAAAGTAAATAAGTATTACCTCAAAAACAAGTCATCAGCAAAGAATGCGTTTAACCCTTGAAAATCTGCAGAAATCTTTATGAAGATGACCAATGTAAATTGTCTTCATTTTTTTTTTTTTAGTCAATTTTTAAAGATAAGTTCAACATATCTACAATGTCATCTAAACATTAAGGGTGAACCCAACAGGCAAACACAGATTAAATCTTAAATGTGACAAATAGTACATCTGAAAAAATAAAGACATAAAGAAAACATACCAAAATATCAAGCTTACATGAAGTTGCAACTTCTCGCATATCTCTAAATGGCTGCAGTAAATACTGGAAGAACATGGTTGCCACGGTAACCAATTCCTGGTAGGCTTCATCTTCTTCTTGATAAACTTCCATTAAGGCTACCATGGTGTTGGCCTTTTCATGCCCTTGAAGAATCTGGAAGGCAGAATTTAAATACGGCTCAAGAATGGACAGTATTTATAAGATCACGGCAAGCAAACAAAACTGAACAAAAGAGACCTTAATGTTCTAAACTTTAATACAAAGCAGAGTTCAAAATTTGATCTCAACTATGTATAGAGTGTCCAGAGAAAAAGACCTGAAAGAATCACCAAATATTAACTGGTTATTTCTGGGTTGGAGGCTGTAGCTGGTACGTTTCCATCACTTTTCTGATGATAAAGGTTTTGTGAGGCTGTACTCCTTTTTTAAATCTCATGAGGACATTATAGAGTTGTGTCCAAATACGTCATCAGGCAGACTTTCTCATGTCCCCAGGTTAATACTGCCATCAAGCCCCCAGCAGAGCAGACTCATTTACAGGGTCACCACTGTGGCTCTAGTCTCTGCAGAGTGCTTCTTCTGATACAGTATAGAAAATAAACAGCATTTATAACAAATAACTCATAATAAGTAATAACAAACTCATTTGGTGAGAAATTATCTCCAGGAGAAGGGAAATAAAATCAAGTAATAGTAAAGATTTTTTTTTCAATCAATATGTCCTTAAATTCTTCTATTCACCCCTCTACTTAAGGATAAAATGATTTATGTTCAGCTGTAGCTTTATCTAGGTATAAAGTAGTATTAAAAAAAAAAGTTTCCCTGAAGAAAATTGGAACACATACACAGACACACACATACACACACAGATACACACACACATATACTTAAGACAACTGGTACTTTTCAGGCTTATTTCTTAAACTAATCAGAAGAACTGAAAACATTCAGCTTCATTTTATATATATTAGTAATATTAGCAATTGGTCTAATTACAGAACCAATTGCTTTTCTAAATACGAGGTGAGTAGTAAGATTACACACATTTACGTGGATGTAGTCTATGTTTTATTTGTTATGAACTATTCTACTGCTATAAGACCCTTGAAGGAACTTCACTTTATATCAAGCTTACATGAAGTTGCAACTTCTCGCATATCTCTAAATGGTTGCAGTAAATACTGGAAGAACATGGTTGCCACGGTAACCAATTGTTACTATTGTTACTATTGTTAAAGTACTTTAACAATAGTAACATCCATATTAAAGAAAAACCACTTCTTTGAGAGACTGAGTATTTAAAAAATAAGTCTGTCTGATACAAAATGATAAAGTTAAAGATCAAAAGTTGACTGGCCTGAAAGTGCCCTGTGATTTCCTCCTATCATGAAGTGAAATCGACCCATGAGAAGTGGGTATTTACACACAAAACCCACAGTATAAGATGACACCACTAACAAATTTCTTTTATAAAATTATTTTAATTTAAAATGCTCATTCTGTATTTAGCTTGAAAGGATGTAATTGAGGTTTTGAAATGCGGCTGGATTCTTCTCTTACACCTCCCATTCCTCAAAAGAATGCACAGAAAAATCATCCAGAGTGAGGATGGCCTTTAGTGAGAAAGAGCAAGCAAGAAGACAGTCCAGGGTGTAGAATAAAGCACTGACTCTTGGCCCTCCTTACTAACTGTGGATATGTACAACATATTTTCTTCTGAACTCTTCTGTGACCTTGCATTCCCCTCCCCTAAGTTCTGTATGTTTACCACTCAAGTAATGCATTGTCGGCTCTCTCAAATTACCTCTTTCAAGCTTACAATTGAACTCTTGCCGCTATTCCAAATTTAAGAATAAAGCTCACTTCCTGTCGATTTTCCACTTGGCCGGGTCTTTACGACTTAAGACACCTGTGGAAGAAATCTTCATCCTCTAAAACATCTTGCCTCCTTTTCTGACCTTCCCACACACAGAACCTGGAGCTGCGTTATCTCCTACGCGGATGGGATGCCTCCGTTTTGCTTTGTGTTTTCTGGCATTTCCCGAAGCAGCAGCCTGCTCCGCTAGTATCTGCGCTCTGACTGAACCTAACACGTCTCCGCTCTGCGCCTCCCGCGCGCCCGCGCAGCATCCCCCTGCATCCCTGCAGGTGAAGTGCACCTGTGACCTAGCGCCCCCTTCCCCACGTCAGACTGTGAACTTGCTGCTCTGCGGCCCAGGAGTCGTGGAAGAGCCCCACTCGCCCTCGACCACCCCCCCGGACCCCCTGCCCCCGACAGCCTAGGCACACTGGGCAGGGAGAGCGCTGGGGTCCCGCGGGGCCT